AGCTCCTCAGTTGCTCATAGCAAATCCCACCTTGGAGTTTACAAAGACTTATGGGTAGAAAAGCCACACAAAGTAATTTACTACACTGCACTCACTGACCCAAGAGTGTCCATAAACCTCACACAGAAGAAACAGACCAACCATTCTGAAGCGTGCCATCACTGACCTGGTAAAAAGCAATGATGAAGGGAAACTGTTAAAGGCAGAGAGGAAAGACACACTATGCACAGAGGAGCAGAGAATGACAAGCCACTTGTCCTCAAAACCTCTCCAAGCCAGAAGGCAACACAATGATGTATTTCACCTACTGAAACAACAGTCAACTTAGAATTCTACTCTGAGCAAAAGGGAAATTTATAAAAGAAAACTTTGTAATCGAGAATATATCAAAGTGATAATGACTTAAACTTCCACCCTAAGAAATTAGAAAAAGAACAAATCCAACTGAAGTAAGCAGCTGGGAGGAAATAAGGAAGAGCAGAGATGAAGGAGACAGACACAAGCAGTGAAAATGAAATGTGGCTCCTCGAGCAGACCGATACAGCTGATGCATCTCGAGCCAGAACGACCAGAAAGCAGACAGAAGACACAGACCACCCATATCAGGCGTGAGAAACACAGACTGCCCATATCAGGCACGAGAGATGACAACTACATATCCTTTGAACAACGGAGATGGGACCGTTATCAATAACTTCATGATGAGAAATTCGACAATTTAAATGAAACCTTCCTAGTAAGTATTCCATTGCACTTGACAAATCAAGCAAATATTTGAAAGGAGCAAATTACCAAAATGCATTCAAGATAAAAATCAATAAATTAAGTACTTTTTAAAGAAGTTAAGTACCTTCCCACAAAGAAAACTCTGGGCCCAGATGTCTTACTTCACTGGTGAATTCCACCAAACCCCGAGGAACAAATGACATCACAAACTCTCCAAAAATTCCTCCAGGAGACTTCACAACTCATTTTATGAGGCCAGCACTACTCCGATACCAAACCAAAGACAAGTAAGAAAAGATAACTAGGGAACAACAGCCCTCATGGTGACACATGCAAAAACACTTAATGAAATTATATCCAACCGGATCTAATCATAGATAGAAGAAGACAATGCATTGTGGCCAAGTGGCTGCATCCTAGGAATGCAAGGTTGGTTTATCACTCAACTGTCACTGTCATGTTAAAAGGAAGAAATACAGGAGCATCACAAGAGATGCTGAGAAGCATGTGGCAAAGTTCAACACACGTGCTTGATAAACACCCTCAGCAAACTAAGACCACAAGGACACGTCCTCAAACTGATAAACGGCAGCTACCAAAACCCGCGAGTAACATGCAGCCGAACAGCAGAGACTGAGGCGCTCCTTCCTGGACACAGCTCAGGGCAACAACGTCCACTCCTACAACCTCCACTGTCATTTTCCTGAGAGCCTCACCCAGGGCAATAGCCTAAAATAACAATAAAATAAGTACATTAAAGACATGCTGATTGGAAAGGAGGAAGTAAAATGGCTTTTTTTCCCTCCCAAAAAAGTACACTATGATCATCTATGTAAAAATCCCATGATAATACAAAAAAACCCCACTAGAACTAATAAGTGAATTAGACAGGGTCACAAGATACCAGATCAACATTGAAAAGCATTTCTATATAACACTAACAAACAACTGGGTACTGAAATTTTAAAACGTACAACTTACAACAATATCAAAAGTATTAAATATTAAAGAAACTAAGGGTAAGACTTAAAGCGACCATCCAAGCTGCTACAGTTGGTCTCCATTCATGTGGAGCAACAGAAGAGGAGTCAGGAACAGGAGGAAATGGAACGTGTGGTTAACTGCCTCCAAGAACAACTGTTACCTCTGCCATGAGATCAGAAAAACTGGAAGGTGCCCAGCTGCCATTACTGAACGTTATGATCAAAGATTCTAAACAAGAAACCTGATCAAAAGGGGTAATACATGGAACAGAATTTCAAGTTTCATGGAATCCACTGAGGCTGGATGAATCCCCAAAACTACTGCCATAAGATAATTTTTAACCCTAAAAACAAAAACATCCCATGATGCCTTCTTTAAACCAAACAACAGTGTAGCTTAACTAGTGAAAAATGTTAGCTGTGAGCACTGTACTCTTTTAAATAACTTACTATGTGGAAGACTGTACCCTGGAAAGTATAGAACACTGCTGACAGAAATTAAGAAGACCTAAATAAACAGATATACCATGTTGATGAACAGAAGGGTTCAATATTATCACTATGTCAATTCTCTGCAAAATTGTCCAAGTCAACATCGTCCAAATCAAAATCTGAGGAGGCTTTCTGAACAAAGTGACAGGTTGACTGGACATTTTCTGGACACACAAAGGTCCTAGAAGAACCAAAACAACATTACAAAGAAACACAAAGCTGGAGGATTTACACTGATTTTAGGACTACTACAACAAGAGGCTGGTCTGAAGACAGACATAAAACAAGACCACAGAAACACATAATATGTGCCAACTAGTTTTCAACTTCACCAGATGGAACACACAGGAATCAGATTGACTACATCTGTGACAAGAGGCGGTGGAAAAGCTCATTATCTTCAGCCAAAACCAGGCCAGGAGCTGGTTGTGGAACAGACCATCAACTGCTCATATGCAAATTCCACTTGAAGTTAAAGACAATTAAAACAAGTCCACGAGAGCCAAAATATGATCTTGAATATATCCCTCCTGAATTTAGAGATCATCTAAAGAATAGATTTGATGCATTGAACACCAATGACCAAAAGCCAGATGAATTATGGGAAGATATCAAGAACATTATCCA